ATCTATCTATCTATCTATCTATCTATCTATCTATCTATCTATCTATCCACCACCCCTCTGGCGATGTGTCATTTCCACAACATGGATAAAACAATGTTAAAAAGCCCTGAGCCAAGGACAGATCCCTGGAGCTCCCCTCTGGAGACCTCCTTCCAAGACACCATCAGTCAATCAGTCAGTCAGTAAACATTTGGCAACAAGTTCTTCCTGGCTCTGGCCCTTCAGTCAGGCCAGGGCTACCCAATGACATCATCATGTCATTCCCAGAAGAAAGACCTTGGTTTGCTAACATTTGGGTAAGTGTCATCAGTGACCTAGACCTAGCAGCCCCATCACAAGAGGAAGACGACTCCCTAGGTCTTTGGGATCACTGTTTCACGTTCATTAACCACCCTTTTAGGGACACTCTAAAATAAATGTTTTCCCAGCAAACAAAATCAAACTCAGTGTCCTTTCTCTTGAATATTCTAGGTCACAAAAACTGCCTTGCTAATGTTACATCAGTCATTTACACCTTCCAAATTCATCAATAGAAGTTGGACAAAGAGGTACAGCGGCCGGAGGGGACCCCCAAATCTGGGGAGCAGCCGGCAGCAGGATGTAGGGAAGTAATCAGAGGTGAGCCTGGAAAGGGGGACTGGGGCAGGTTGTGTGGGGTTTTAAGTGGCAACCAGGGGAGACTCAGACAGCAGAGTTGGGAGCAGGTCAGTGACGTGCCCTCCCAAGAACCTCCTCCTCTAACACTTGGGCAAGGGTAGGGCTCGCAGACATGCCCTGATAGAGCAGGATGAAGGGCAGGATGCTGAGTTTAGAGTTAAGGGTGATCGCAGACCACATCATCCAAACCTCTTATTTCATGAGGACACGGAGGCCTAGCGAAGGGCCCTCCAGGACCCCCAGGCAGGCAGCAGCAGAGGTGAGACCGGAAGCCACAGCTCCGTGCCTCTGCTTGGCCCGTCAGGCTGGAGGGCAGAGTGGAGCCTCAGACTACCCCGGGGTCTTTCCTCCCCAAAAGCAGGGAGCCCCCACGCCCCCATGGGTTATTGCGCCATCCCACCCGCCTACCTGGAGGATCTCAGGGGGCTCGTTTCCGTCTTCCACAATAATCAGTTGGGATCGTCCTCTCCTCTCGTTGTCCCGAATGTCCTTGGCGACCTGGTTGGCCTTCAGACGCTCATACCTGTTACAGCCTGAGCCGCACCACTGGTAAATTTCCTAAGACACCGAGACAGAGACTTTAGCTGTGGTCCGAGGGCTCAGATGGCACCCGGGCCTAGAAACCACCCTGAGGCTTAGTTTAGACTTCCTTAGACCTGCGGTTTGGGTGCCTGACTTGCTCCCTACGACTTTCAAAGGCTGAGCTGCTGTGATAGGCTGACCACATCACTCCTCAAGACCACCCAGTTCAACCCCCTCATTCAGCAGATGAGGAAATGGAGGCTCAGACTGGGGAAGGGATTTGTCCAAGGCTGCAGAGAAGCCACAAAGCCGGACTTCACACCGGGAGTCCTTGGACAGCCGACCTAGCGTGCCTTCCAAGATGGCATCAGCACCCTGGACAAAAACCCTATGACTCTCTGTGACTGTGGGGCTTCGAGCTCGAGGGGCCCCCGTGTTCATTAAGGCCACCGTCACCTTTGGCTAACTCCCCAAGTTCTCACCAGTGCCCAGGGTTGCTCAGAGGGGGTATTCAATGAATCCTGAAGCGACCCTGGCTTTGGAAATTCAGAGGTCAAGATAAGACCCAAAACAAAATCAGATCTCTGACATGTTAACGTTTTATAAAATTTTAGAGCAGAGATCTTAGGGTCCAACCGTCTCACTTTCCAGCTGATTAGTTGAGGCCCAGAGAAGTTTGGGGATTTGCCTAAGATCGCACAGCTCATTCTCATAGAGTTGGACAGCAGTGGTGTCAAATTCAAAGAAAATCCACTAAACCGTACAGAATGTTTTCTGTGGGTGCACGTCTACTTGGAACACTGCATCCTGACATTATTGTATTTTTATTTGTTTTGTTAAACATTTCCCCTATAGGCCCACAGGTGGCATGTTTGACACCTCTCTTGTACAATAAAAAGAGACAGATCCTGAGCTGGGGATGGAGAATGGAGGAGAAAACATCTTTTTCATGAATCCAAATCCTTAGAAGGGAGTTCCTAAGGAAAAGAGCTTTGCCCCCTCCCCCTTTCCCTGTGCAGCATCAGCAGAGAAGGGACTCTCTTTGAAGGAAATGAGAAGACCCCGGTCAGATCACAAGGGTGCGGAGGCCTGTGAGGGCACAAAGAGGGCCAGCACCTTGATCTCAGAGTGTGTGTGTGCCTGCGCACACATCGTGAAACAAAGATCTTCACTTGTGAGAAAGCAGTGGCAAGCGAGCCAAGCCGAGGATGTCCAAACTCCTTCCGTCTAATTCTGTACCATGGAGACCCCCACAGCTGAGCTGACCCAGCTCTGCCCCACTCTCACCGTCATCCCCAAGGGGACCAGAGCCTTCATGGAATGAGCCATTTTTGGAGAGTTCTTTAAAATAGTATCTCTTGGAGGCCACATGGCCAAGCTGTCAGATAAAGCATCTGCTTTATGTCAATCTGAATGTTCTCTCTTAATCAGTTTTGGTGGGGGAGCACTGGGAGAGAGAAATAGTACCCTATTCATTTTAAACTGTTGACATTTTAAAGACAGTCCTGCCCCACCCCCAACTCTACCCAGTTTAAAGAACAAGCCTTAATAACTAATTATAACCTTACCCTTGGCATTCTGTGGGGCTAAACACACAAATAACAAATAACCAAGAATTCTGCAGCAGGGCTGGGAACGAGGCGTGAGCTTGGCGCTCCAGCCCACTCTGGTTTTTCAGCCATGTACAAAAATGACTCACTGATGCACCTTGCTTCTTTGGGTGACCTCCATCGTGGGCAGGGCTGCCCACCTACTCCTGAGAGAGATGTCAGCCCACAGCCCGAGTTGTTTGTGGAGCCCTAAGAAATCCTGCACCAGGACTGCCCTGAAGGCAGCTCAGGCTCCTCAGTGCTCCGAGGCTCCAGGCCCGGGATGCCTCCACGTCTCCCCCGGACATCCCTTCACTGGGGAGTTGTCACTTGGGGTGCCAGCTCCCCGAGAAATTAAGGTTTGACAAGTGTGAAGAAAGTGGAGAGCTCGCATTTTTGGAGACTTTGGTTCTGTTTAAATCTGTATCAGATTTAATGGTAATGGGGCAATTCTCTCCCAGGTGCCTATGGTATGCATACATTGTCAAAAAGATGAGAGGAAGACCCCCTAAGTACAGGTGCTCCCACCCCACTGCCCTGGGATTTATGGGAAGATGCAGGAGAGCCATCTTTAGAGGAGGCAGAGGGGGCGTGGTCATTGGGGAGAGGCGCTCACCAAGCCCCCCAAGGAAGGTCTGGGCCCTCGGAGTATTCTGTGTGCTGGCCCTCCCCCCTCCCAAGCTTCACTGGCCAACCTAATGAGTGTGTCATCCATGTCTTTAACTGACTCTGAGATAATCATGACAAAGGGCAGAGGGCCAGCCTCTGATGAAACAATGATGAAACAGGCCCTGCCCTCAAGGGGCTTACTCTCTACGGAGGGCAGAAGAAGGAGATACCATATGAATACAGAAAAGTCAAAATGAAATATAGAATGGGTCAATTCAAAGTAATTTCTGAGGAGAGAGCAGTAATAACCGGAGGAGGGAGAGAAGGAATCAGAAAGGGGGCAGTGCCTGAGCTGAGCCTTGGAGAGAGCTGGGTTCTACCTGTACCCATCATCCCCTGTGTGTGTGTGTGTGTGTGTGTGTGTGTGTGTGTGTGTGTTTTCTGAGCTGTCTTGGGCTGCTACTGCGTAACAAAGCCCTACAGTGCAGGACCATAAGCGTGTATAGACCTATTAATAAACAGGCCACCCCAGACACTTACTCAATTCACTGAGGTTTTGAGTAAGACCATTTCCCGAGTCAACATCCGCACAAAGTCTCTCTGTGTTGCATGGCGTGAAGGCAGGGGTTTTTTAAAGTTGCAACAACAACGATGCCCTGTCTTTCCTATAAATTATCAACCCTTCAGGCCAGCAGAAGTGTGGGAGAGCAGGCCCGAGAAGGTTCCCTGCAACGGCACCGATCTATAGTCCAGACTAGGAGCCTGTAATCAGTGTCTGTAGACCCTTGGGAGCCCGTCCAACATGGAAGTTTAAAGCAAACACGAGCATCGCAATCGGTCGTGATAACAGCATTGTGATTCCAAGGCCCTGCACCAAACTTCATCTTTTCTGGCTAAAACTCTAAGGCACCGACCACACATCAGAAAGAGCGCGAGACTTGGAGTCAGGAAGCCGTGAGTTCAAATCTCCACTCAGACATTTCCTAGCTGGGTGACTCTAGGCAAATTGCTTCCCCAGCCTCAGTTTCCTCATCTGTAAAATGGGGGTACCTGCCTCCCAGGGTTGTTATGAGAATAAAGTGAGATAATACTTGTAAAGTGTTATCGAACTTGAAAGTTCTAGCTTTAAGTAAACCTCAGTTCAATCCAAGAAGCATTTGTTAATCACCTGCAGTGTGCCCGTCACTGTGTCAGATCTTGGGGACACGTAGACAAAAGCACGCTTCTTCCTCCCTCAAGAAGCTTACCTCCTATTGGGAGTCAGGAGGAGATCTGCACAGCCTCAAGGTTGGGCCTCTATGAGAAGGGAGTGACATCATGGGGGCTGACATTTGCCAGCAGGTAAATACAAGGCACACCCGAAGGACTCAAAAGGAGAAGACTGAGAATGGGAGTGAAAAAGACTAAGAAATCAGGGAAGGCTTCACATAGGAGGTGGTCTGGGGCTGGACTTTGGGGAAAGTGAGACGTTCTAGGGCCTGAAATGGCCCCACTCCAGGGCCATTGATTGTCTCAACTGGGGCAGGAAGATGGTCCTGAGGCTGGTACCCCAAACAACCGCTCAGGCCAAGCAGGAGATTGGAGACCACGAACACAAATGCACACGCATGTGGTTATGTGTGTAGTCATGTGTGCACTCACATCTGTAGAACAACACATGGACAGTCCTATATGTTTACATGAATACACACATATAGCTATCCAGAGGAAAAGTGTGCGGTGGAAAAAAAGTGGGGCGGGGGCGGGGAGAAAAGGCAAATCAAGATTCCCCGTTAGCGGTGATGCCCATTAGGAAACAAGAATGAAAAGCCAGCGAGCTGAGCTGCAAAGCCCTCCCCCCACCCAGGGGCTGGGGGAAGGGAGCTGGAGCATTTGACTTCAAGTTTGGTTTTTGTTTGTGTTTTCATTTTCAAACTGTGTGGTCACAGTGCTTCGGTCTAATGCCCCGGCGACCATGCCGGACCCGGGGTATAAAACAGGAAGCAGAAATGCCCCACAGTGTGGCGGTGTGCGGCCCGTTTAGGGGGAAGCCTGAGGACCGGTCGGCCCCACGGCAGTGCCCATGTGAGGCTGACTCAGTCCGGCCCAAAGCCTTCCTACTCGCCTCTCGCCTCTCCGCCAAGACAAGTCAGTAATTTCCTTTAAATCAAAGGCCACAGCTCCCTTCCTTGCATGCGGGCAGCTTGTCTTTCTTCAGTTTTCATTCTCAAGGCACTTGTTTGCCCTTTGATCTACACTTTCATGGGGCCCGTTGGCTTTCAGAGTGTGATCCGGGAGGAAGGAAAAATCCCTCGTGTTTCCCTCCTTCTCCCCCCCCCCCCCCCCCCCCGTCACAAGCTCAAGACAAGGGACCAGGTCTGCCCTAAATGTCTTTCTCCCCCCGGAGTCAAGCCCACAGCTCTGTACTAAGTGGGAACTTAATAAAGGTTTGGGGGAGAACTGCAGAAAGTAGGCTAGCCTTGTATCAGTCAGCAAGGTTGGGTGAAGCGCCTACTGTGTGGGGACCTGTGCTGGTGCTAGAGAACAAGGACATAGTTACACGTGCACAGGGTGTGTGTGTGTGTGTGTGTGTGTGTGTGTGTGCTTGTGTGTGTATGCGTGTGTAAAGGGAATAAACACTAAATAGTAAAAACGAGGCTCTTTGGGGAGGGAGGGCCCCAAGAAAAGGAAGGGAACCAGGAAAGGTTTCATACGGAACACGGTCCTGGACCAGTATCTTACTGATGTTGGAAATAGAATTGTTAACATCTATATTTTTGAGAGATACAAATGATTCAGCTGGGAGAGATCGAGCATTTTTACAATGCTTACTCCATTCCAGGCACTGTACAAACTACT